CACAGTCGGTGATGAAACTGATGAGCTGTGAAAAGTGGATATCATCCGACATGTCAACATTTTAAGTGCAGATGCATCAGTTTGGTTTGAGAGAGGGGGAGATTATTCTGAGCTCTTTTCAAAGAGGCTTTTTCTGAGATGTTTGGACTGTAGGGAATATTCTTCACTCTGATACAGTGCTCTGCTGCCCCCACGTGGCAGCTTCAGGAACTGCTGCTAAAACTTTGAAAGTCAAAGAGAAGTAAACTAAGAAAAACTGAATATTATATTTTGTTGACTCAGATTAGTTTGTTATATGAATGACTGAATGAATGAGTATTTGTGCAGGCAGAATATGCAGGAATTCTTGTGCAAGTTTTGGTCAGAGTGTGTTTCTAAAAACGTTTTACTGTGCATAAAAAAACTGTTATCTGTGCAATGCAGGCCTTCTCAGGGACAATTTAGTATCTTGTGTATATTTAACATTGCATATGTACGTTCATGTGTGTGCATTTACTCTTGTTCTTATCTGCAGTTGTAAAAAAGTTCAAAAAAGTTCATCTTATCTTTTTTGAAATATAAACTAAGTGGCTTTTTAACTTGACTGTGGTAAAAAAAATAACGCACCACTGTTTCAGATCAAGTCTATCAAGAGAGTTACAAATGCACCTGTTAAACCGGGATGACTGTATTTATTTATGCATTAGTGTTATGTTAGATTTATTGTGTTGTTGTTGTTATGTGAGTGATGTATGTTGTTACTCCTGTTGCAAACTAAATTGCCCTTCGGGGACATTAAAGATTTTCAAATCAAATCAAATCAAATCAAATCAAATCAAATCACAGGACTTCTTACAAAAAGAGCGAACTCTAAACAGACTCTGATATATCTCTACAAAAACCTGAAGTTAATCCAGAGTGAGCAAACATTTGACAACAACAGGCAGAAAACTTCATCAGATTACGGCTTTTAGGATGGGATAATGATAAGACAGATGTTTCTGTCTTGATATGTTCTGTTAATTTAGTTTTTCCCTGGTTTTGTTATCTGAGCTTATTTCCTGTGTATTTTCTCTTGTGTTCCTGTCCCCCTGTAGTCCAGTCTTGTGAGTTCTCAGTTTGTCTTTGACCCTGTTTCCCTCCTGTTCTCTGTGTTTTATTCTTTAAATCAGTTTTCAGTGTTTATTTCCTGTTTTATTTTGTAGGAGTTGATTCCTTGTGTTTCTAATCTGGTTTTACTTCCCTAGTTTTCCTCCTTTAATCACTCATGAGTTTCACCTGTGTCACCTCTGCCTCACCTGTTCCTCGTTTCCCAGTGTGTATTTAGTACCTGCCTTCCCCTGTTTCTAGTTGGTTCATTGTGTGTGTTTGTTGGTCAGTGTGTGTCAGTCTGAGTCGGTTTTGCCTTTTGGATTTTTCAGTTTGACATTTTGAAGAAGGTTTTTTTTTTGGGGGGGGGGAGTGGGTTGTTTTTCATTGTTTGTCTTAACAACCATTTGCTCTGCATTTGAGTCCTTTCCATTTTGTTTAACCCTGGCATGTGACAGTTTCTATAAGAAGTGTGAAAATATGAGATATAAGGAAGAGCTGCACAGAAATGGTAACATTAGTAAGAGTTTAAACCTGCAACATTTCACTCTGCAGCACTTTCACTGATGTAATACTGTAGTTGAATAATTTGACTGTATCAGACTGGTAAAAACTGCAATAAAGATTTCAAATTAAAGTGCAATTACAACACAAATGACTTACTCTGACATCCTTTGGTGATAAATATTCTAAATCCCCAGATTGTCTTGAAAACACAGATGTACATCACATGGTTGTGCATCAGTCTGTTTAAGTTATACATGAAGATGACAGGTGTGAAAAATTAGGGAATGAAGTGTGACCTTAAAATAAGAAACAGATGGACATGTTCTGATAAACTGTGATTCAACTGAACACCAATTTAATCTTTTTAAATTTTACTTTTCAGTGTTTTTACTCGCGGATCAAAAGCTTGTTCCTGCTGAAGAGTTTCTGCTGCTTGACTCTGTGAGATGGTTTGTTGTGCACATAAACAAGCCTGTATGGAGTACAAACAGAGTCTGATCCTGCAGAAATAAAAAAAAGAGCTGAGATAAACATGAGTCTGTCCCCAGAGGATGTTTCTCAAAGCCCAAATCCTCCAAATACACTCACAGACCAGATATCAGCGTTTGGCATTTTTAAAGGTGCTGACACACTTTATAATGCTGTTCGAGGAAAGTTCGTACTCTCGTTAAATCTTTGGTTATTCTGTCCTGAGCAGAGCGAGTATTTCCATTTCCATCAGATCCAGCTGATACCATCAGAGAGGAGCCTTAACATGTCAAAACTTCAGCGTAGTTTTCTATGTGAAAACTCTGAACCTCCTCATGTTGCAGCTTTTTGATCAAACCGTCAGCGCACCAACAAAACACTCTCTGCTCTTATTTTATTTTACTCTCTGGCAGACTGCAGACGGTCTCCTCCTGCTCAGTTCAGATGGCCAGAAAAGCTGATTCCAGTTTGAAATACTTTCATACCCTCAGACCAGGAGAGATGGACCCAAATACTGTTCCTTTATTTACTCTGTCCATCGATAAAATAGATCTGCAGCCAGCCAACCTTCAGGGAGAGAGAGGCCATCCTGAGGAGATCTTCTTATAGATATTCACCCTTTATGATCAATAACTTCACCAAGCCTCGTTCAAGATTTGCTGAATGTTGGAAAAGACTCAATTTCCTGAATTTGAAAATCTGACAAGCAGACGAAACATGCGCGGAGGTGAGAAGTCAGCAGGAATTAAACTTTTGAGCATCAATTTTTACACAATTACTCTGAAAAGTCCAGAAATGATCATGAAACCAGTCTGTAGAGGTTTACTTTGACTTTCTCAGACTGTAGTTTTAAAGATTTGTTATTCTTCCTGCTCCAATCTAGTCAGTTATTCTCCCTTTTGCAGTCAGTAGAGTCGCCCCCTGCTGACCATTATAAAGACAATCCCAGAGACTGTCTTCTTCTTCTTCTCTCAACAGTCCACGGTTGAGGGACACCATCAAAGCTACTCCAGGTCTTTGCCACTTTATAGACCCTGAGCTTAATCACTTATCGATCGCCGTGCACTGCAACCCCCTGACTGCTTTTTCTTCCTCTGCTCAGGGAGGTGTGGGCGGTGCAGGATGAACAGGCGGTTAATGAGGTTGTACAGCCATCATTGTCAAGAGTAGGAGGTCATTCTCTGAGTCTTGGCTAAACGTGGAGATGAGTTCAGAGGCCTCATCGAAGCAGAGCTTCATAGATGGAAGGAGAGTGTGAGAAATGTGAGAAAGGAGCTCAGCTGAGACCGGAGAGCAGAGGCAGACAGTGTGAAAGATAAATAAATGTGAGACCTGCAACTGAAGAGAGTAAAGATTACAGGGTTAGACGGTTAAAAATGAAGTTTATCACCTTTAATCTACTTACTGTCTTCACATAATGTTTTAACTCTCATGGCAGGAGCTTGGCCTGTAAAACACTCACTGACGGCTGTTTTTAGTTGTTGTCTGACAGAAACATAGAGACCTAAAGGAGCTGCTAAACTGTCGTCATTTGTCTTGAGTCTTTGGACTGCAGGTGTCATAAATCATCTTCAAACTGATTTAATTAATGATGTTTTTCATGTTGCTGGTTTTGCCAAACCAAGAGTCCAAAATTCAATCATGTTTTCACCGATATGAAACAGAGAAATCAGAAAGACAAAAAAGATCAGATAAAGACGATGGGAGGTGAATTGTGTTGTTGGTCCTGACTTTTTATCTGACTCAGACTTTTGTTTTGCTCCTGAGTAAAATAATCACTCATATTTGTTGTCTGTCGAGGTTTTCATTCATCCAGGTCATGGCTTGATCCGACTGGATTGAAGTTCTTGAATCGTTTTCCTCGAGGTGGTGTCGTAATTAGCTGAACAAACTTTGAAGAAATTAAATATTAGAATTATGAAAGCTTGAAATAGTGTGTGGTCACCTGAAAATAAAAATCATTTAGTTTATTTTTAATTCAGGATAAACCTTTCGAATCCACATAAAATGGGTCCACATGGGTCGTCTTCTGCCGCCATACTTTACAGCAATGCAGAACAAAATAACCATGCGTGTTTTTGTGACCTCCTGAAAACACACCTGCTGGAGGATGAAGTAGAAGAAGAGAGTTGTTGTTGTGGTGAGCAGAAGGGACTTGGATGGATGGATTTTGATCGTACAAACTGAATGAGGACATACTGCCAACTCTTTTCAGACTCTTACGGCAAACCCTTCTGCAGCAGGAGACAATGCGGCTTGTTGAGGTGAAAATATACTGATATCAGCACAAGAAGGCAATTAAACACAAAAAGCTAAAATATAAATATAAAGCAATATTTTTCTTTGTAGTACATCGAACAGAACATTACAGAACATTATCGCACTCCTGAATCTCCCAACCCAGTGGTTCTCAAGTCAAGTCCTCAAGGCCCACTGTCCTGCATGTTTTGAATGTTTCCCTGCTCCAACACACCTGATTCAAATGATCAGCTCGTCATCAAGCTCCGTAATGGCTTAATAACGAGCTGATCATTTGAATCATTTGTGTTGGAACAGGGAAACATCTAAAACATGCAGGACAGTGGGCCTCGAGGACTGGACTTGAGAACCATTGTCCTAACCCACACCCTAACCCTAACCCGACAGACGATGACGTTTTACAGCCAATAGGAATAACCAATTGATGCCCAGCACTTCTAGCCAATCAGAGGCGAAGGAGGGCGGGATCTTCCCCTACCATCGTACAAAATAAAATTTCACCCACTGGATGTCGATTAACGTGAACGCTCAACAATCTTCCTGTCTCCAGTGGGTTGGGCGAATCCAAAATGGTGAAAACAAGGGGGGTGTCCTGAAAACACCCCCATTAGCACTTTGTACGTTCCTCCTGATGACATTAACCACAGACTGTAAATTGACTCAACACGCATCGACCAAGAAGTCGACCAGGATGCATGTGATGTTACTGACACCGGGCAAAGAAGGCGTACAAGAGACCTCTTTATTGAATTTATTAAGTTGTATTCAGACACTCAAAACTGATCAGCCCATCACTAGTAATGCTGTTTTACATCATTAAAATTCATTGAGCTGTAAGAGAGAGAGACCACCAGTTAGGTTAATGATGCTACCTGCTTATAGCTGGAGGTTAGCAAAGTCCAATACAGTCCGTCATATAAAATCGAAGGGCAGTCATCAATTAAAACATGATCAACACTGTGCAATGCAATAAAAGTTCCTTTCAAACATGACCATGGACCATTTCTGAGAAAAGTAACAAGACACCAGAGAGGGATTCTGTTAATAACACTACATATACCTAAAAAAAGACCACCACTGCTTAACATTTGACCAGTTTGTGACAAGGTCGAGGATGAAAATAAGAACAAAATAAAAAAAAAAAAGCAGACCTATATTAAACTGTACAATTGTTTGATCTCTAAATTATGTCCAAGTGAGCTCTGCAAGCTGAATTAAAGGAGGAGGAAGAAGACAACATTGCACCCTATAACAACATTAGAGTATATTTTTTTGTTTCCACAGACTTGTGACGATGGGAACTAGTCCAAATTTTTGTTTGTGTGCAGTCTGAACTCTACTCTAAAAAAAACAAGACCCCCACTTTGACTGAGATCACCCAAACTGATGCAGGTTGACTTACTGGCCTGAACAGAAACAGAGCAGATGAACAAAGACGAGAGTTTAACATCACCACACGGATGTTAGAAGTCTTTGCAAGCAGGATGTTCGACAGTCTTCAGGTTTCCCGGTTTCTTTTCTACAAAACCACGTCGTCATTTCAATCTGGGAGACTTTATGATCCCGAAACATACGAGACTTTTCAAAACCTCAAAGTAGAAAAAAACACCCAACAAATTTTCAAATCCTGTCACACCAGCCTCACTTATATGTTTCTGCGCCACCACACTGACTTTGTTGTTCACGTTGGAAGAGGCCAGATGTGTTTTGAGTTTTTTCTTTCTATTCTCAAAAACATTATTTTTCCCCCTGACTATTCCAGCCGTTTCAAAACCCTGACGTTTCCAAAACTTCTTTTCCACTCTTTCCATCGGGATGAAGACGTCCTCTTGTGTAACAGACGCGATGCAGGGAGGATTCTTGGTTTGCACAACAGACAGACAGTCAGAAAAATCAGGCATCTCGAGATGGGAACAATTTTGGTTTTCTTCTGATTGTGAGCATGACCACGCCTACGCTGAAGACACGCACTTCAGGCGGCGCCGGTCATGTTTCGTCAACCCTGTGAAGTGACAAATGAGGGAGGCTACACCTTCTCATCAGCAGATCGCTCTCGGAAAATTCACACATGACACAATCACACGTTCACGGGTGTTTCGCTCGCTCATCGTTCTTAAATGGGGTTAGTCTTTGAACTGAATAAGAGATAAAAATGTGTTTTTTAGGCGTTGTAGTGATACATGCATCCATTATACTGATATACACTTCTTAAAAAAAGTTTAAAAAAAAGAAAACAAAAAGAGAACATCAACAAAAAAAAGGTATTAGAAATGCAGCTATACAGAGTCTTTTAGCTATTCCAGGGGAGTGAGGTCTGACGTCAGGAAGCCAAGGAGCCCGATGTCCAGATGTTCAGTTGGGGGAGGAGGGGGGGACAGGGACAGGAGAGGGGGTGTGTTTGGGGGGGAAGGATGAGCAGGAAGAGCCGGGTTAGTTACTGCAGCAGGGACGGCTGCTGGGCTGAGCTGTCTCTGTCAGGTCCACTCCTCGGTTCCGTCCGGTGCCAGCTCCGGCCGCTTGAGGCTCGTTCTTGGGAAGCTTCTTTGCTGGAAAGAGAGAAAAACACAAGAGATTAAGAACGTTTAGAAACGACATGAATCACATCGGCAACAGCACTCACTAAACTGATATCAACTTGAGGTGTCCTGATACAACTTTTACCTCTGATTTGATACCGATATTGTAGCTTTTAATATTGGCTGATACCGATATTGTAGCTTTTAATATTGGCTGATACCGATATTGAGCACAAAATTGTGCATGAAAAGTTTTGCACCCAGCTGCAATGTCTTTTTCGGACTTAAATGAAAAATACTGCCACAGGGCCAACATCACTTCTACTCCTTGGTACTCTGTTAGGTCCTTAGTACACACTGTTGTTGTGATCACATGGGCTCTACATGCTGGATCTGAGTGCTGCTAGACAGAGGCGCCGGAGCGGAGTCTGGAATGGACTGCTTGTATTGGAGTGCTGATATCGGAGATTTTAGATGCAGGCCGATATAATCCCATATTCGATTTTTGCTGATATCGGACCGATATCTGATATCAATATCGTATCAGGACACTCCTAATATCAACGTCATCTTTTCTAATGATAACTTGTTTTTTTCTATGGTGGCCAACAGGGGCAAAAGATCTGCAACGGTTAAGGTCGTTTCACACCGGGAGTGTTTTTTTCGTGCGATTATTTCAGACGTCAATATCTTTTTTTCGAACCCGTATCCTGTCAATACAAGCGTTCACATCAGCAACGTTTTCCCGTCCTGCGATACTGCGACATTTATTTTTTCTCATACTGTGTTTCCACTTCTGACCAATCAGATTTCGTGTTGTTACGACGTCAGATTCACCGGTATATCCAACATCGCGGACAGGTACTGGCCCCAACTCAGTACATGCTATCATGACAGACAGACATCTCAACACTAGAGTCTAATCAGAACTGAAAAACAGTCAGTCTGCTGTTGTGTCAGTCTTCTCGCTTCCACCCGGGACGCGTCTTTTTTCCCCCTGGAAAGTTGCAAAATCACATCGCGCTTAATGTGTATAGTCAGGCGCGTCAAAATTCGCCTCAGAATATTTCGTAATTTCATGTTGTAAATTTCTGTCATATGTGAGGACCTTTCGAGTGGTCAAAAATCTAAAGCAAACACAAGAGTGGAAATGTGCTGCAAATGAAACATCAATCTGTGGATCTTTTGCAGGACTTAACGGGGCTCCTGTTTGTCTTTTGTCCCCGTTGTGCCGTCTTCATCCCTGTAGTCAGAGTATAATGGAGTGAGGCAAACACCAACCCCAGAAGCTACACTGAACAGCGGTTAATTCAGAAAGGCTTTCTGTCCGTCATTAACGGTTTCTCAATGAAGTCGATCACTTTTTTCATTTTCATGCAGCCGTAATTTGTCACAGTTAACCAAGGGAGGTAGTTATCGGACACAGACACTCTGATGGTGTTTATTGGAAACAGTCTGATAATAACAGGCGTTAAAAACAGGCAACCTGAATGTCTGGTTTTCTTCATCTGTTTTCTGCTTTGCACCGTCCCTGTATTTGCAGCACTTATAGCAGATGTTCCCATTTGCAGCGTGGTTCCACTATTGTGCTTGTTTTGGATTTTTGCAGGCTGCTAACAATCTAATATAAATGTAAGATATGATCAACTATTAAAACTGTGACAGAGATAGAGGAAACTCACCAATGGCCATGAAGATCTCGTTCACGTTCATAGAGGTCTTTGCTGAGGTTTCCATAAAAAGCAAGCTGTTATCATCTGCGTACGACTGTGCATCCTGTGAAAAGCGAAACCAACTTTATCAGTGAGTCATGAATTCACATCAGGCTCAGCTGTGCTCAGCTGGAAAGTACCTCCCAATCTGCATTGATAAAGACAGAAAGTCTGGAGGAAGTCAAGTTTGGAGGAAGTTCAGTAGCGAGTAAAAAATAGGATAAAAAGCGGACAGACCGGATCTCATTCTTTCAGCATAACTAAGAATCAGTCTGTGAGAGAGACATTAATATAACCTTCAGAGTACTGAGTTTCTGCTTCTGTTCACATCCTTCAGTTCATTAGGAGGGATTAAAAGAAGACAAACCTGGAAGTCCAGTGCTCTCTTGTTTGAGAGATCAGCCTTGTTCCCAGCCAGAGCTATTACAATGTTTGGACTGGCTTGTCTCTGAAGCTCTTTAACCCAGTTCTTCGCCCGCACAAATGACTCCTGGCAAACACAACAGGGAGAGGGAGGGGGTGGGGGGTGGGGGTGGGTGGGGTTGACTCAGTTAGTGCAAATAAAAATAAGATCCATGTGATAGAATGATGAGGACGATCCAGAGTCTCCTCATGGTTTCTGAGTAGGCTTGTCTGATCTATTCGAGACCCTGAGACTGAGCGTGGAGAGGCTGTAGATGAATTATGAATCATACATCTTCAGCTCAGGTACAGTGAGTCACAACACTTCACAGAGTACAGGGACAGGATTATCCTGCTCTGTCAAGCACTGAACTTTTGGAGTGTGTCGTTATCAGCTTCATTTAACACGTTGGTGAATTAAAATCAGAATTTAATCACCTGAATGTAAGGGTATTTTTGTATTTGTTGACTTTAAATGAGCCTTTAACTATATACAGAGTTTACGCAGGTTACAACAAGTCAAATTTAAGACTTTTTTAAAGACCACAAGGAAGACAATTCAAGATCCATTTTATAACCATAAAGTACAAAAGACATGAACGGAAAATAAACTAACTTTAAATCAATCTTTATTTGTAAGTAACATGAATACATTTTTAAGACCTTTCAAATTTGTATTTAAGGCATTTTCTGAGGTTTTAAGAGAATTTTAGACATTTTTATTCAAATGATTGGATTTGAGACGTTTTAAGACTTTTAAAGACCCAGCAGAAACCCTGAACATAAGGAGCCGTCGCACAGTACAGACAAACTAGTTAGATATGACGCATAGGTTTGAGGATAAAGAAGAATGTTTGTCGTTATGTGAAACAGAATTCGTACAAATGGACGTTTTGATATCAGAGGATCACTCAGTATGCGTCACAGGAGCTTTTTGTCCTTGAAGGCCACCGTCACTTCAGATATGAGTGTGAGAAAGGGATGATTCAATTTAGCATCTGACAGCTAGCTGTCAACTAATACACCTCTTTCTGCACACAGCGTACCTTTAAAGTACATTAATCAAAACTGCAGTGAGGACTTTCAGGTGATACTCCAGTGAAGAGTTTTTGGACTTTTAAGAAATATATTGATGCTTTTGATGATATATTAAAGTCAAAAAGACCATCAGCTACAACACTGACATATTTTACAGTGTGATTGTTTTCACCTGAAACTGGTCCAAGAGTTTTTACATTTTCCACAGAGAAAAATCTTAATAAATGATGATATTTGACTGATTAAATGAAACTTTCTCAATGCCAAAGACTGAAAAGAGGACTCTGTTTTAGAAACGGACACTGTGAAGACCACGAGGATGTTTCCTTTGTGAGAGGAAATCTTTCTACACATCCTCCTTTCACACTTTTTCATCATGAGTAACCTTCCTGCTGTGAAGTGACCGCTGCCTGAGTGAGGTGACATACATGATCAACAAAACGCCGTTGTTTAACCCTGACGCATCACTGATGACTAATCACTTAAGAGGCTAAAATAAGGTTTGTCTTTTGTCATGAGTAATACTAATAGTGATGGAAACCCCCGCTGCCCCCATCACTGATAAGACTGCACAGGTTCCAGTGCTATTAGTTTTTCAAGTATTTCAAAAGCCAAAGTATTTTAAGACATTTGTGTCAGGTTTTAATAATCAACTTTTAAAAATCTGTTTCTATACAGCAGAAAAACTGACAATCATAAATCTATACCCCAGCTTTGAAAGTGTTTCTTTCTCGCTGCCTCAGACTGTTTGCACTTGCCAATCATTTGTTTCCGTATTTTTCACCTTGAAGGCAAATTTTTCTCGAACCTGTATGTTCAAAGTCTCTGCCTCTTCTTCTGCTCATGGTTCGTAAATGCTGAATTTGTCAAACAAATCCACACAAGAATAGAACGAAATATCCCTGAACGATTTCCAGACAGTGCAGATTTGACAAAGCACGACACGCCCCACCAAAGAAGTAAAAATAAGACTTTCTATGACCACAAACTTTTAATTTCCAATATAATACAAACCCCTCTGTTGACTCCATGGTAGCCCAGTGTATAAATTGAGAATATGTGTCTTGGGTGGTTTTACAGCGATTTGGAGCCCACAGCCCCTCACCTGTTAAGGCCAGTTCTGTCTGCCACAAACAAACCAACTAGGCGACTGTTTGCTTGGCTTCAATTAATCAAGCGAGCAAAAGTTTAGATCTTAAAAAACTATTTTGGATCAATATGAGCTCTCATTTTAATTAGCCATGAAAACTGCTGCATGGTTTTTTGATTCGCTTTGTTTTTGGAGGGAGACGAACTACTGGAACATTTTGTACATGTAAACACAGTCAAAGCTGCTCCAGTTCTGGTCTGTGATAGCCGTGCTGATAAGAGCGACTGCATGACGGAGGACTTGGCACCTGACTCACCTCATTTGTTATATCATACACCACAATAGCCGCCTGGGCACCTCTGTAGTACATGGGAGCCAGACTGTGGTAGCGCTCCTGACCAGCTGTGTCCCAGATTTCAAACTTGACTGTTGTGTCGTCCAAACATACTGTCTGAGTCAGGAAGGCAGCTGCAGGGGCACAAAGCAGAGGAGCCAATGACAAATGAGCCTGTCGCTACCGAATTACACAAAACATGTGACAGTGGAGGTAAAAAATTAGGACCAATGCTGGAAATACAAACAGAGAGAGAGAGAGTGGGATTTTCTGGTTCACTTATTCCACATTTCAACATTTGGAAACTGGAGAGCTAGTGATGTCTAACCTGTTTGATACAACCACTGAAAATCTGAGAGGGAGCTGGAGCATGTAGTTGTGTTAGTTATATTCAGTTTAGTAATACAAGGAAGTTTTCTCCAACTTTTATTCACTTCTGCTCTTTCAGGGGTCGCACCTGCACAAACCCGGATCACAAACCTCAAGGCTCTCACCTTCTGCTACATCTCAGGGACCAAGGATCCACCCATACGCCCATTTTTTGGCCTTAATATCATGTTTTATAGCACTGAAATATTCCTTCCTCTGGACCTTTGCCTCATTTGTGTCAAATCATCTAGTCGAGGCACATTTCCTCTGTGTGATACATGCTGTCAAGGGTTTTAAGAGTCCTCTGGTAAATTTATTTGGCCAAACTCGAGTCCAAAAATGGCAATGCAATGGAATGGGAGGAATTTGATTCAAATATGTGATATCCAGAGAGCAGAGCACAGTCAGTTTACCAAAGCCTAATGAGTATAAGACTGCAGACATGATAAGAAAGTGCTCGAACCTTACGTACACTGCTGGGTACATCTGAAACGAGGGGCAGACATTCAGGAATTCACCTAATTATTATGAACAGTCTGTGTATTACTCTTCTTGTTTGATCATGCTATTAAAAACCTTCAGACACCCATGTCCTCCGCTCTGAGTAATGTTTCCTTTCCTACTCAATCTGATGCAACAAATGCTTATTATGTTGTCATATTTACAATGTATCTTCTGGGCAGGCCCTGTGGCACATGAGACGGTGTTCAATGTACTTTAGAGATTATAAGTGTGACATTTAGTGCTTATTACAGTGATTAGGTAGTTAGATGATAGTACAGTGATAAAAAAAATCCTTGTAATCGGCCCGTTTACTACATGACCTTGTGCAGACACGTACCTCCGATTGTGCTCTCTTGGAATTCATGAAACTGTCCCTTGACAAAACGAAGTACAAGACTTGACTTCCCCACAGCCGACTCTCCTAAAAGCACAAGTTTGAACTGGCAGATCTTGTTGCCTGCGTTCGGCCCATTGGGTCGTGTGGCTCCGCCTCTATTTGCCATGTCACACTGTCTGGTCTCTCCCTCTGCTCGCTGCTGTGCGGTGAAAAACTGCAGAAAATACCTGAGCAGGAGAGAAAGAATGCAGGGTGTCAGAGTCTGTCACACACATACACACACGCCCATTTATACACGGACACACATAAAAGAACAGCAACATCCTCCTTGTGTTATTCATAATTTGATTTAAAATAGTTTATGGTCGCAAACGGCAACCAGTACAAGGCTTTCTCCTGGTTTAAGGTCAATATGTCTCCCTAGCCACCGCACACATCACTTAACATTTTCTCCCACTTAGGTTTCCTGGTAGCAAAGACACACGGGACTACACAGAGAAATGCTGTTTCTCTACAACAAACATGGAACAAGGGTATCAGGTGTGCAGCTGATGGATAACCTGACACCCTTGTTCCATGTTCATAGACAAATTCATAAACGTACGAATCAATCGTACTGAAGCAGCACATATGGTTTATGTTGTAATTATAATTTATATTCAGAAATCTATGGCATAAGCCATGCATGTCCTGGTCATAATCTCAGCCTGGCATGGGCTGCTTACTGGTTTCAAAACCTCTCATACTTTCCATCATACTGTTCCCACTATATGTGAAAAAGTTGATTTTAACCCAGAGTCCCAAACATTTTACTATAAGCATAAAAAACATTTTAGTCATTATCACAATACCTGAACACCATAAAACAGGAATATTTTTGAGCTACCTGTGATAAAAGCTCTACGATCGTTTTGTGAGGTTGTAGCAGTACAGCTGCGTTCAATACTTCCAATTTGTTACATCTAAAAACTGAACATGAGACGAAATGCATGTTCACTAAAGCAACAAACTATGGAGTTTAAAAGAAAGGACACATATCTTTGAGCGAGATTATAAAAATGATTCATCTCGTTGGACAATCAGCCCGTCTCTGTGGTGGAGACTGCAGGTTTTTGTCAGATTTTAGCTCAACAGTGTGTTTGAAGTGGAACTGTGATGTTAATTTGCTTTACTGAGTTAATTGTTTTGCTGTGACCATCCAAGTCTGTTTACACTAAATTCAAATGGATCTATGACTCCTATCCAAGTACACTTGTTTTTTAAATAACTGTACTGCAGCACAGATTCATTTCTGTGAGCGCATACTGAAGGTTAATTAAGCTTATACACTATTCTCATAGGAATCTAGATTTCTTTATGTGAGCTTCACCTCTAAAGGATCAAGCTGAGGACATTTGTATAATTTACTTATCTTTAAACAACAAGGAAAAAAAGGTGTGTAGCTGTATCGACTCAGCAACACAAGTGTCAGATCAGGACTCTGTATGAGCAGATAATCAATATTTAACTCATTAGATTAGGATTGGAAGCAAATAAGATACCGACAGGGGAAAACTGTAAACCTTAACTCAGAAATACTTCAAAATGTGTGCTTCTGAAGCAGTTGTCAGTCGGCAACATAAAACAATGACAATGAAGGGGATCTCACTATAGATCATGACACACTGAGTCAACAACAGTTTCAAATTACCAGCTACACTGTCTTTCTCTACAAACAGAGGAGAACTGTTGCCATAATTATTCCTGCAAATAAGGGAGTTAGTTTGACAGAGTAAGTCTGAGTTAATGTAACCTTTAGCTCTCAAGAGTTTCCCACCTGCATTAATTTGACTGCAGCTTCAACAGATGAGAAACAAAAGTGGACTAACTGGTGGAGCCGTGACAACTCAACTCCTGCTTGTAGCTCTAGGTTATGTGAGACACACAGAAACAACGGGGATGGTTGTAGTTATTACACAAACCTGAGCAAATATGCGAGAAAAATGCTTCAAGGTTGAGAGTGGCCTGTAAAAATCAGCTAAACAACAACATGAGGTTATTTCTCATCAGTAACCAAGTCAGCATACGAGGCCGGGGCCGAAAATAATCACGTAAACTTTGTGGAAATCGCGTTACGACACTCGGCGAACCACAAATAACCTGTTATGTTGTTGTTGATCAGCTGGAATCAGCACAGTACCGACTGGGCTAGCGTTAGCAACACGGCTAGCAAATAACTTTAAATGTCTACAGCCAAAACAAATCTCTTCTTGTTTCCAGACTTGATCCGGTCTGTGTCGGGCTACTTCCAGTCTGCTCATAACTGAACACGCCTTAGAGAGATGTCATTTATATGACGATTTGAGAGTCACAAAAACACAGATGATGCAGTTTTGGGTGTGTACAGCTAATGACAGCTAGCTAACCTTAGCAGCATGACGTTAAATTAATTCTGCTTAGTTAAATAGTGGGCTTAGAAGAGCTGCAGATGGTCTTTATAAACAAATGGGTTAATATATATGTGTCAATGATCGATACATGCCGACTGATTCGGATTAATCGGCCGTTTAACGTTAATTTACCATGCTAACTAGCTTGGCCCTTCCAGTGTCGGCTAGCCAGATAAAAGAACCTGGGATAGCAAGCGGTGGAAGCGAACAGACGCGGCAGAAAGTTCGCCCCCATTTACTGTGCATTGCAGACGAAGCGGCGCGAACCAAGCCGGCGGTGTCGCATTTTAACAGCTTTGCTCCATCGTGTCATTAAACTGTGATAGGATTTGGGAAAGCGGTCTTGTAAAAGCTACTGAGGTTGAGAGATTCCACATTTATGACGACAAGTGATCCTGACTCTGTAAGGACGCGCGTTTAGGCGAACTGGTCGCGTACGGTAAGCGAACGTTGTTTAGCTCCGACCGCATCGGGAGGAGCCCTCTACACAGCTAAAGCTAATATTAGCCACTCACCTACAAAAAGAAGAAGCTTGTTGTTGTGAACGAGACCTCCGGAACGATAATTCAAGCTCCTCGCAGCGTGTCGGATCCCCGGTCAGCTACTGAAGCGTTAGATTTCATAAGGCTCCGCGATGTCCCTCTCCCACTTCTTTCAACTTCCCTTTTCGCATTGTACGAACGATGATGACAGATCGTATGACTGGAATTGACAATCCACCTACGTCACGGCGCGACGAACCAATCAGATGTCAGGATGTGCTCTAAGTTTACCTTTCTACAGAAAAACGTCTAAATCAAAAAATGATGGTAAATCGATAAGGGTGCATGTTTTAGTTTCTGTTCTCACAAAATAAAAGCTTTGACGACATAGAAAATAAAATCACAAAAATTCTTGGGAATGCAGATTTCTTTGACTTTCTGGAAATATTTTAGGCCTTTAAAATGTCTCTGTGTTTTACAGAAATTACTATGTTGTGATGCCTTTGACTTGTACAGAAATTTTTGTGCAACTGACCTATACGGGCCACTGTAGACGCACCCATCTGAAACTCATTTGGCCTAAATATAACTTAAAAATAAAAATCCAGCTTAGTTAAAAAAAAAAAAAAAGATGTAGGTTTATGACATTTATGGCATTTTGTGCAGTTAAGCTGAACAAAAAAAATGACCATGTAAACCCAATAACTTTATACATTTCAAATGTATTATTGCCGAAAGCTGGTCAAAAAATCACGATTTGTACATTTGTCTGACTGGCCATCATATCTGGACTCTTAACATCAATGAAACATTACAGTTTTATCATTTTAGTCAATAAAATTGCAAAAGAAACTGTTTTTTAGCGACTGCCACTTACTATCATTAGTGTGCTTTACCTCCAAAGAGGGCGTGGTCGTATGGGAGAAGGAAGTGACGTCAGATTACGCCACAATTTATTTGCCATTTATTTTCCATTTCTGTAAACCATTTCACCCCCCCCCCCCCCCCCCAGATATTGCAAGTTTATCCTCACATAAGCGTTAGCGAATTTTACATTAAAGGTATTTGAGATAAATTTAACTGTATCCAGACTTTAAGTTACTCTGTTGCTAGGCAACAAAATTCAAACACGCGCTCTACCCAGCGTCCAACGGCTGCGTTAGTTGTTGTGCCAACCGCCAAAAAGAAAAAGACGAAGGACAGGAATAAGTTGTAGCAAGCTTGCGTCGAAGTTTATTAATATACGAGTACTTATGAGGAGAAGACGACAGTTATACGTCGAAGAAAGGTTTAAAACTTGCTGGGTTACCGTCTCAGTGTTGCTGTACGATTAATATGGCCGAAGGAAGTACGTTTAACCACCTGAAACACACGGAAAGGTGTCCCAACGGGCCAACGGTGAGTCAACTCTCCTCCCAGTCGGCCCAGCTAACGCTTGGTTGGTTTAGTTTAATATTCACAGCAGCATATCTTTAAGATTAAATCGAGTAAAAAAACATTTTACTTTACCACCAGGCTGGGAAACTCATACCTGAAGGAGACAGAGCAAAGGCCTGCTTACAAGAAGTGGCAAGGGTAAGTCCAGTTTGAGTAACAGCATGTGTGGGCCTGGGCCCTGTCTAAGTCATGGAGCTGCAAAGTGTTTTATATTTAACCTTCCTCCTGTGTTAGCTTTTACTACACACCCAATATGTGAAGGGTCGGTTTTGACCCGTGTCTTAAATCAGCTGTAAATTATACTAAAAACTGTTTTCTATTATCCAGTTTGGTTCTCATCTCTAGGTTAACTTGTTAGGCTTCATTATCCATGAAAATATTGCTTATAATATTTTTCTTTGTGGTCCTCTGGGCCTTTCTTTGTCAGTATACTCCTCACACAGACTGGTGTTGTTTGTGCAGCGAAAAAAAGGCAAGATGAGAATTTCCTAAATCTCACATGATTGGAAGAGGATCTGACTGTCAGTGTGGTGCCTGGCAGTGCACTTATGATTTTAGCTTTTGCTCTAATTATTAGTTATTAATCTAACCGGGTCAACAGTGACCCAAACACAACAAGTACTATAATTTTGATAAGAGCATTTTATAATTTAGTCAATTTAAATTTTTATTTTGTCGAAATAGAGTTTCCTGACAAAGTCAAAAAGTATTGATGCAAAAAAGCTAATTTTAGTGGTTCTTCTAAGCATTTAAAAACAAAAATGGGTCGGTGCAGACCCTAACAGAGGTGGAGGGTTAAGGGTTGAGTACATTGTATGTTAGTTTAATATGTGGGTGTCTGAGCTCAACTGAAGACAAGGTACTAAAATATGATAATTATCAGCTTAAAAAGCAGGAGATGTATGCCCATTCTTGGTATTAAACAGTGTTAACTGTTGTATTTTTCAGCCTTCTACCCCGCCAGTGGTCAGGAAGTTTCGCAACAGCACCCAGCCAGAACCAGGAGCTATCCGAGTGCACCGAGGAAAGGCTAACGATCCAGATGTTGCCAGCACCCTTGTCCACGGCATCAGCACCAAAACTTCCCTTACTGTGAGTCATTCATAAATTAGATACACTTACTTGCTCTGGGATAAAAAAAATAAATAAACAAGTTTTATTTAGTTAAAACAACTTTATTTATAACCTTTAGGGCAACTGGTTTTAGTGCAGCATGGCAAAAATTGAATAGAGCAACGCAGAGTACACAAGAAACTATGCACAAAAGCAAAAAAAGTATGAAATAATATCTTAAAAGACTACCCAATAAGATAAGATAAGAATAGATATACAACTTTAAATAGACTGCTTGATTAGTAAACTATATGAATGCAGTTAAAAAATCCAAAGGAAAATCTAATGATTCAGTTGCAGGAGGAAATTTAATTTTGATTCATACCCACATGTATTCTTTTATTTTTGTATGATTATTACAGGGCAAAAGCTTGCTAAATCCTCCCCAAAAGACCTTGTTCCAACAGAAGTTGGAAGAGCTCAGTGAAGCAAGTTACATCTCCTCTAAAAAAGCACCTCTGGGAAAGTCTCATGCTCTGCGTTCTGGCCTCCCCAGCTGGTTTGATGACAGAACAACATTTGGTGTGAAGACAGAAAAAGGTATGTGTGCTGTCAGATAAGGGCACTGATGGTGTAGTTGGAAAAAAAGAGTTAAAAGTCTGGTAACATGAACTTGAAATTTCAAGAATTCCATCTTGTTGTAAAGAATCATGTCGCTTGTTGTTTAGAGACAGATGTGCGAGAGATTATTCAACCTCCAAAAACGACCGAAGAATTAGAGAAGGAAGCTGAAGAGGCACATGAGTCCTACATTCGCAGCCACAATGCCTATTTTGTTGGTAGGAAGAACAAAATTATAACATTATGAAAAGAAGACTTTCTAATTGTCTAATCAATGACATTTTATAATTATGATTGGGATCTCTGCCTTCCACCACAATGAAACTGCCTCATTCTACCTCAGGAGAGAGGATTGACAGGAAGTATGACTGGAGTCGCTTCGGTAAAGACAGCAGGTTTGGGATCCTCACACCTCATTTTAATGATGGACGGGAAATGTGTAAAACTCTACGCTGGCTGGGGGAGTCTCAGAAGTAAGACCTCAAAAAGCTTTTTGTGTGTTTTGGTCATTTTCACAACTCAAGGTTTTCATTCAGCAAATATTCGACAGAGAAGAAAATAATCTTGCCTGACCTTGCACTTGTGTTGCAGGTTTTATGATTCTAAGTTTCTTTTGAAGAGATCTGCAAACAGGGAGAAATTGATGGCACAAATCGGAGGAACAAACATCACGTAAGTGTCTGTCATGGTTCTCCAGACCATCTCTGTGACCTCTGATATACTTGACTGGCTGTAATTTTCTTATCTTTTCAGGAAAAGAAAACCATTGAGAGAAAATCCAGATCAAACCTCTGGAAAACTCATGCCTGCAGATAAATTTGGTACAAGTGATGTCAAATTATTCTTTCCATATCTCAGCAGATAATCTTGTCAGCTCAAAAAAAGGAGACTTTTATCATTTTTGCATTCTGTACAGGAGTTGGGGAAATAATTCACTCCACAGAGCCAGGCCAGTTCACAAGAAGCCGAGACTGGGACCGAAAGCACAGCTTGGTCCAAGCAGTACGACATCACCTCAAGACGATTAACTTCCAAAACTTCACCTCTCTGCTGGAGGCCTTCAGACACTATGACAAGGTAGGAATGGAATCACCGCAGACTGATAATGAAAAGAGTCAAACCACAGGCCTGTCTGCTGGGGGAACATCTATCTTAATATAAAAATCCCAGGTGTATAGAACAGCACTGAGAAAGAGTCATTATCATTTAAGCAAGTGCAGCCATTATTACCACACCTGGGTGTGAAGACTATGACTTTTAATGGTACTTTGATTCCTCTGTCGTCTCACTCTAAGTTGCTCTGTATTTCTTTGTGTACATTTTATGCAAATTACTAGAAAGGCAAAGGAAAGATTGACAAAGAAGACCTGCAGGCAGTGTGCAGTCAGTTCCAGCTGGGAGTGAGTCGGCAGGTTTTGGACGACCTGATGGAGTACTGTGACCTAGACAAGGACGGGCTTATTAACTTCCTGGAGTTTGCTAACTTTCTCAACTGGAAGGACAAGATGCCCATCAAGAGTAGGCGTGAGCTGAGCAGTATAACAAATGGTCAGTTGATGGTGTATCAAAATATGCTGTCATCAGATTTTGGACACAAAAGCCCAAGTTTTCAGGGATATAGAAGTTTCTTTGAGAGGCTGACTCACTGAGATAATTTCCTCTGTCTCATCTCCAGCAGACCGTCAGACCAGCTCGGCTCCAGCCACCATAGAGAGGAAGCCTCTGTTACAATCAGCACAGCCTCCGACCTCTGAGACCCTAATCAAGCCTGAGGACCTGGAACCTGTTGAAGCAGGCAGCTCATGGCGAACTGTCAGGACCCTGAGTCGACCCAGGGCAGCTCCAGACCACTTTGTGACGTCCTCCTCTCTCATTGGGGCTGTGAGTGACGGTCGGCTGACATCAAGTAAGTTAGAAATGTGTAAATATGAGTTGGTTCTGTTCTAGAGAATGTGTCCTGTTTTGGTTGAGTTTTCTAACAGGTACAGATAAACTTGTGGCCTCATTATAACGGTATCTCAGTGGAATTTTAAGTTAAAAGCATGTTTGTAAATCAATTGGCTGAATGTGTTGTGCACAGACACACAGCCAGGGATCCAGCTTTTGATTTGATAGCAGCTTTTTTTCTGGATCTACCACTAAGAGCTTCTCTAAATCCTTCTTTACAAAGGCAGCCGCACCTTTGGGATCCCCTCTGTGCGCTCAGACCTTCCTGTACCCCGTATAAAGAGCGTCGGTGACCGTACCAACTATGGCGATACATCCACTGTGAGAGATCTCCTCCATCCATCAGCTTATGCTGCTCAGGGTGTTCATGAGGAACACCTCCTTTGCCCTCGCACCAAAAAAGAGGTATGAATTATAAACAAGAATGGCAGCATTGTTTATCTTCACTACAAAATGAGATTTTCTCTGACAAAATGAGAAAATATTGAAGCGAACACTTTCAACCCCATCCTCACAGATCACAGACATCTTTAAGAATTTGAGTTTGAACATCTCTGACGAGACCTTCGAGGAGGCCTGGAAGCTAGCGTCCATGAAGCATCCATCCGGGGAGGTTTGTGTGGAGTCTTTGCATAACGTACTCAAGGAAATAAAAGCATTGTAACAATCAAGTTATTCTTACCTGCACAGTTTATGCGGAGGATAGAATTTTACACCAATTGACATGTGAGTGCGACTATGACGTATTGAAGAAAACAGAGCTAGAGTCAGCTAACGCCGACTGTCAAAGCTCACAGACAAAGTTTAGGCTTTATACTATCTACAGTGTAACAGTGGAAGTCTGACGAGTGAGATCTTTGCTTTTCTGAAAAGCATTTTTATGACAATATTCAAGAGCCTTGGCGACCAAACTTAGTAGAGAGGACACTCTAAACACAATTTATTCAAACCATCACCACTTTCCTTTTAAACTATTGCATTATTATTTCATTCTGGAAAAACACGAGTGCTGAAACAAAGTCAACAAAGACACACAAGCTGCTGCTGTACACTTTAAAATGCACAAGCAGGATTTAAAAATATGTATATTTTCTTCATCAGTGTGATGCTTTACTGGGAATCAGTCTATATCTAAGTTGTATTTAAATCAATCAGATCAACAACCACCATTTGTTTGACACAGTATTGCATGATGTGTTTAAGCAACATTGAGGTATTATGGAGTAAAGGGCTGCATGATATTGGAAAAAACTAAGATTTCAAAAACTTATTTTTGTGGTTTATATTAGAAAAAAAGGAATGTATACCAAATAAATGTAAACAAATGTCTTTTTTTTTTCAAAACTACAGGATAGAGAAAAAGTTTTTATGTGTGATTTCTTTATAGTAACAAGATGAAATAATGTGTATTAGCGTAAACACACGATCTCTGTGTTAGTGTCTCTGGAACATGTCACTCCTGATTACTTAAAAATCCATTTGGAGTTTTTTTTCCCCACTAACTGACATGTTGGTCTGAAAATATCCATCAACAAGTTCATCTAACTGCAGCAGAATAGTATGAAAGCATAAATATTTCACTCAGACCTCCATCTGACAATTAGCATAGTAGAGATGTTAATGACAACATGTTAATTGCAGATACTCATATTGTGATAACACTTAAACTGTGATATATTGTGGAGCTCTAACAGTGTATTTAACCTCACCAAGTTGATATATTCTTCCCCAGCAGGGGTCTCATTGGTGCTCAGGCATTCAGACATGACTGACACCCGAGTATGAGCGGGACAAAGTGGAATATGTCTCTAATTATCAAGTCTCTGAAGTCTCAGTCTTGACTTGTTTCAACTGAGTTTTCCATCAGTTTTTCTTACTTGAACAATAAGAGCAGTTTCTAATCTGTCAAAACTTTTTCATGAGTTCAAATCAGTGAAAAAATACAAGAAATGAATTTTGTGAAAACAAGGCTTTGTGTTATATTCCATCTTTTGACTGAAATACAATCAACTATGAGGTGATTTAAAAGCTTTGTATTGCTGTGAAGTTTTCAGCAATCAAAACTCGACGCGTACTTGAAGACTTCACTAATAAGGAGACGTTTTCTCCTATTGTCTTTTGTTCCCACAGAAAATCATCTTAATACATTAAATGAGAATAGGATTTCACACTCTGACACAGCTCATTAGTTATGTCAACATGTCACTTATGTTTTGTTGGAAGCAACACGTTGTCTTTTCTTAGCACACCCTAATCGGCTGTGAAACATAATTGAATCTTGGGTTGATTTCTGGCACGTAAATCCTGAGAGGTTCACCTTATTTTTCTGTCAGTGTGAGATTTAATTTTCAAGTATATTTATCGTATAATTCTATTAATCCACCTTGAAAATTGTCTGACATAGATAAAACAATTAACGTATGGCTTCTTGGAGCTCAGACACATGCAGTCATAATAGCAGGAGGATTTCTTTCTACATCAGTTTTGCTAACAAGATTAATGAAACGGGTTGGCATGCCGCCTCGACTCATCCACATGTCAGAACAATGTGAAAGAACTAATAAAAAAAAAATCATCAGCTTTTTGTATATTCAACACTTGTTTTTGTTTTCCTGATAATTTCCATTAAACCAAATGATGCACAAGCGTGGTAAATTAATGTGCTCTCACCATATCCATGTGCTTATTGACATGTGCTAAGCTAACCACTCATTTAATCTCATTATGACTCAGTGTGATGCTCCACTGGAACAAAAAAAAAGAAAAAACCCACGCAAACTTCCGGAGACCACATATTAATGCAGCAAAAATTAGAATAATCCTCTGCATATTTTATTATGCATGAATAAGTGGCTGTTAATGACAGAGTCTTCTGTTTGTCGGATGTGTTGTCAGCATTAACAACATTGCAAGATGATTCACGGCATTCATGAGCCCGCTAAACGGGATGTTTTTGACAAGTGACATGTTTTTTTGGGCGCTGACGCCGGGATTAGACGTTGGCTTTGTCTGAGTTACTTTCAACAGATTGAGGAATTTCTGGGAGATCATTTTTTTACTCTCGCGTGCAGCAACGCAGTTTAACTTTCTGTCACAAGACTTTCATTCAGATCCGTCAATTCATATTCAGAATCACTGTCAGCTGTTGAAGATAACAGTAATAGTAATAATACAGTAAGAAATGTGCACACAGGTCTGGATTTCCTGATTGTAACCTGTTCTGGTTTCTTTTGTCGGTTTGTTTCTAGTCCACTTACTGTATAGTAAAGAAAAACAGTCCTATGTAGAGAGCAAAAGCAGGCAGAACACACCCCACTTTGAAGACCATATGCAGCAATCTGACAATTATTTGTTTATCAGTTTAATTCTAAGTCTATGATTATTTTTTATCAAACTGTTGTAGCTCAGTAGTTGGGTTTTCTGACTTCCTTGAATGCATCAGACATGATTGATCTGACCTCTGTTCGACAAATATTTACAAATTCCTCCGTCACTTTCAATGAATCTTAATAATGTTATTTTACTTAATTTTCCACACATTGTCAGTCAATCACAGACAGTAGGTTTCTTTTTCGGGTTCATATCATTGAAGTAAACCAGAGTGAAGCGTCTTGGTGTCTACGATTTAGTAATGGTAAAAGTGACGGACTAAGACACTATGGAAAAGAAAGTCTTAGTCGGAGGTGTTTTAGTAACTGCTGGCTACATTAGAATTGATGTTAAGTTTGAATCCACCCCCTAAAGCACATATCGCCTCATCATCAGACCATGATGGATGATGACTGTCGATGGGCTGCATGATTGTATCCATGTAGTCCAAACTTCTTTTACTGCGGATTACATCCTTGAAGTTTTGACAGTAATAATCAACACAGATTAAATGATCAATGATACACTTGAAGTGCCAGAATCAAGCAGTTTATTGATGCAACATATTGGCTTTAACAAGCTGAACAGAGTTGAGTGCTGGATTTCATTCTGGACTGTGGTAACAGCGTGTTTTTGAAACAGAAAGTCCTACTTCATAGCTTTTTCTGGAACGTAAGATTGCATATCATGGTTTCCCCCTGTATGTTTCATACATAGAGCTTCTTTGCCATCACTTGAGCTACAGTGACCGTAATGCACCTTCAGCCTTTGGTCCTCCTTGTGGGCTAACATCCACGCGCCTCTGCAGGTAATGCTTTCCTACGGTCAGTCATATCCCAGTTAAAGCAGACACAGCCTACATAAAACGCCATCCTCATTTTATAGATAAACTCACATTGTACCGTACTGTAGATGTTTATATCTGGGTGGTAGAGCATTAGGAATAGAAATATCAATAATGGGTTTAACTGACGGGTAATTCTGGTGCAGACTGGTGATGGTGACAGCAATTAATCTTAGTTTAACGGGCACATTCCTAGTTGCAATCATGTCCGTATCCAAGCACTTCTTATCATCAGACCATGATGCTTACTTACTGTCGGTATGGTGATGGCGAATAAGCCCTCTATGTTTGTACAAGAGGACTACAGGGAGAGGATGGAAGTTCAGGTAAAAGTCCTTGTATATTGACCGACTGGAAGTGACAGATTTTATTACATCAAATTTAACGGATGCTTTTAGAAAAGGAAAGAAAAAACATATTTTCATGTCTGACGTGAAACCAGAATGAGTTCTACAGTTGATTCAGAGGACTGGTGCGGTAGGCTGTCTAACAGTTGAATCCCTGAAATGGGATTTTCAAGGCGTTGTAGGATCTAATCATGATCTTCAAGTAGTAAGAAGATCCTTGTTGAGGTCTTCGGGTGTCTGCACAGTTTCAGAGGTATGACTATGGGTCCTGTTTTGTTTTATCCTAAAAGAGAGTCAACCTGTGGTCCAGCTTCAGTCCAGAAACAGCCTTCCAGTGTTAAGTCATATCACTCAGTTTTTTTTTCCCAGAGAAAGTGCCAAACAGTTGTGACGGTCCAATCAGGAGGAGCACCCTTCGTCAGTTCTCTGTGGAATCTGGAAGAGAACAGACAATTTCAAAAAGAGCTCATCATTTTAACATCACCAGTCTCCAAGCTGCAATAAAACATGCAAAAAAGTGTCTTCAGTTCAGTTTAGAGTTACAAGTAGACTGGCGCCCTTATCCTGTCTAAGTGTTTGCTAACTCTTGGGATAACCTTTGAAGTTTAATAGGCTTTCTCTGAGGCAGCTCTAAGACCAGAGTCAATAGAAAGAGAATCTGGCTAACTAGATAAGTGGGCATTAGGTACAACAGCCACAGCATGTGGTCCTTCAACCAACTGGATAACTGATTATAAAGGAAAAGGGACTTGAACTGGTGGTGAAATTATTCCCCTTTTGTAACAGAAGCACTTTTACTCAAACCTTTAAGCCTGGGTTATATTTGTGCGCTGACTCCACGCTGTAATGGACCGTCAAGAGCTCTACATACTTGAGCGTTGTTAATGTGTTGCCTGAGCTAGCCATATCGCCAGTTTCTGGTCCTGGAACATCCTCTGAAACCATGGCAACTGAGTGTAGCCGACAAACGTTGAGCAGCAGAAGAAGGTAACAGTTGATGTGCAGCAATTCTGATGTTGTTATGTAAAGATGGAGACTAGGGCTATTGTTATTTACTGTCTTAAGTGGCAGACTGCTTGCAAGCTAACTGTAGCAGCCCTCTGAGAGACGATGAGACACCGTAAAAACCTGATGTTCCAGGATTAAGGTCCTTACACACCAGCAGCGTTTTTTTTGTGCAATTATTTTGGAAGTCAATATTGTTTTTTGAACCCGTATCCTGTCAATACAAGCGTTCACATCAGTGATGGATTCCCATCCTGTGATATTGCGGCTTTTATTTTTTTTGTATCACGGTCGAATTTTCTTAAGTTTCACATACTGTGTGTCCACTTCTGACCAATCAGATTTCGTGTTGTTGTGACGTCTGATTCACCGGTATATCCAACATGGCCGACCGGCTGATTGTTCACGTGTCGGAGAACAGAGTGCTTTTAAAAAAAAACACAAATATTACAAAGATAACGACCTGAAGGACAACTTGTGGAGAGTCATAGCGTCGGATTCCTCATATGACGATGGTTTGTGTGCTTTAACAGTTTGCTAAACGTCTTTGTTTTAACTTTCATCTGTGCTAAGTAACTTTAGCTCGTAAGCTAACCTGTTCAGATACAACATACCATATGTATTTTCACTGTCTCAAACTCAATCGCGTTGCTGTCACAGCACCATTAGGTCTCAGTTGTTACCTTACATTTATGGATTATAGTTTCATGTGTTTATCTGGTACTGGCCCCGACTCAGTACATGCTATCATGACCGACAGACATCTCAACACTAGAGTCTAATCAGAACTGAAAAACACTCAGTCTGCTGTTGTGTCAGTCTTCTCATGTCCACCCGGGACGCGTCTTTTTCGCCTTATTTGTTTTTCATTCAGGTCTGTAACTTACTTTCTACCAAAAGTGCCATATTTCAAAATAAAAGCACAAGTTATGCATAGACGCTTGTATGTGATTTAAGACTTCAAACTGTAAAGTTGGTGTTCACAGACTTGCTTTAGTTTCAGTTATTTCTTATTGAGTGTTTAAAACCTTAAATTCTGTCAGTGTCTCATAGCAGTTGGTAATAATTCCAGATTGAACTCCAGGCTTAGGGAGTTCTTTTCCTTTTTGTAAAGGAGGGTCTTAGGTACGCTGCAGGCACAGAGTCTAAACATCACTGGGTTCATCAAGCTTTTAAATAATGACATTGTTGACTGTGGCGCATCTCTTTCATCAATTTTCACACTTGTTATATTTCAACTGAGAGCCAATATAATGCTCTCAGATTTGGCACTGGGTACAAGAGGCAGACTGGCACTGTAGAGAACAGCAGCGACAAACTTAAATACCAAGGACAAATAGTTTTGTTTATTGTTTCATGTGATGGAGCCTTTTTCCCAACGTTTGACAGTAAACAAGCAAACATCGTGTTATAATTGGACTTTTGTTTTTGCATACGCTTTTTCACGATACCCCAGAATTCATACATCCAGTTGGCATAAATGAAGCAACATAGAAAAGAGGCGGCTTGTCTCTTTTTTTCACTTGTGCAAGAGTCCATTATACTGTATTCCTTTGTGTATTTGCCTTTTGAGCACAACAAGGAAAAAGGAAACCTACCCAGCAACACCATGCAGCTGTAGCAAAGATGTTACCTTACCCATTAGGTTTTTTAAAATACTTTTTTAGGCTTTTACGCTTTTATTTAGAGAGACAGGATGTGGCTGGAGCAGAAAACTGGAAAGAGAAAGCTGGAATTGAACTCTTGCTGCCCGCTTTTGAGGGCTGTACACGAGTGTGTGATTGAACCACGAAGCTAAAACAGTGCTCCGTTACCTGACAGTGCCAACAAAAACCAAGATCAGAGTCAAGAGTGGTGCTGGTTCTGCACAACAACCGATCTGTTGTTTAAAAAGCTAAATGAGAACTGGGACAGATAGATATTAGATATTATATTAGATATCTATATCAGATATATAGAAGATATTGAACAGATTTAACATCTGGAGCTGCCGTACGTCCTACAGTTTTATTTTAAGTTTATTTTCAAAAACAAATTCCAGCTAATTTAAAATTAAAGCGTCACAAGAAGTCAAACTAAAGAAAGGCAAGACGTGCGGAGAAGCGCTTTGGGTATCTTGAAAGGCGCTATATAAATGTAAGATATTATTATTATTATTATTATTACTCAACTAATAAGGACAAGCAATTTATTTGTCATAATCAATTTCTAATGATGTTCAGATTTATGATTGATCCACATCACAGACACTTATTTAGAGAGGACACCGCCTCATAAAATGTCTGTTTTTCAGGCTTTTATTTAGATTTTTCTTTCTGTCTCTCAGTCTCTTTATTTCCAACATTGTCAAACTATGCTTTTATTTTGAAATATACCACTTTTGGTAAAATGTAAATCTCAGAACTGAATGAAAACAGTTAAAATATAGTCAGACTGAAGTAAACGCACGAGCTCCAACATTGTTTTCGGACTCACAGCCATCTTTAACATCAGTGTCTTTTCTCAGAGGGATGCTACAGTTTTTTTATGTGGCAACCAGCATTAAGCACCACTGCCACTGAGTCATGATATTGCTGAATGCTTATTTTTAAACACTGTGACTACAGGGACAGCCTCTCCTACCTTCCTGAATCCTCGCATTTGTTGTGATGAGACAATCTGAGACAGTGGCTGTTTGTATCAGAGGGATTGCATTCATGTGTTTCATAGTAGGGTTGGAAAAGGACGATCTTGTCTGGCTTTTGTGAAAGATTTTTAAATGAATGCTATTATTATTTGCAGCTCTTTAACACTGCAGTGGCAGTTGACCAGTGAATACAGTATGTGTCATATTTACCGTCTCCTCAATTAAGGCATCAAATATTAGCTGAACTCTCATCCACCCACATACGACTCTTTAGAGTATATTTCACTCGCCACTGTCAGCTCTCGCTCCATCCAACAAAAATAGAGGAGCCATATGTTGGGAAGCCTGCAGGTAACTCTGAGCTCCTGCCAACATATAATTATCTGTCTGAGTAAATATTTGTACCTTTTTGATTGTGATTCAGCATGCTCTATATGGGGAAATAAACCAAACAGAGATTTTGGCACACAACAGCTGAGCAAATTAATGATCAAAGATGAGTTTTAAGAAGAAAGTCGGCACACATTGCATGAAATAGATTTGAATATGTCGCAGCAGAATGAGGGAAGATTTGATCGTAATCCATACTTTTGGATGCATGGCATGTTTGCAGTGTTTGCGGATGATGAGCTGAGTGCTTACTCATAGACCGCTGTGACCATTTTCTTCTGCGGGCTGCCGTCTTCACTGGAGGCCACTTTGAAGATCTTTGTGCCCTCTGGGTCTTCAGGACCTTCGTGTGTTGATAGATACCAGAACCTCACAGTGAGGGACATGAACTTTCTACCTGTAAGATCATGACAGGAATTAGAGAGCGGCCAGGACATGGACAGGAGCAGACAGTGTGTGAATTTTGATAGACCTCGTTGGCTATGTGGGTGCCTGCAGGTGAGACAGGACACTGAACTTTATCAGCGTAGGTCACCTTTTCAGGTTAAAGAACTGATGCTCTGTTCCTCAGTACTGCACAGTACTTGTTGTGTAATTGCTTTGGTCCTGCCACTCATGAGCAGTCAGACATTTTTATTTCCACCAACATTAGATATGTGCTACTGAGAGGCTATTACCAGACTCTGATTCTGCTTTTAAGTAAATAAGTCTGTATCCCACCTTGTCTTACAAGCTCAACCTTATTATGGAGTCACTCAAAGGTGAGGGTTCTCATTCTGTAGTTAATTCATAGAAGCAAAGAGGGGAGTTGTTGTAGATGGACTACACAGCCGCTTGAATCAGAGGACAGGGGACTGCTGTGATACAGGTAGTACAGGAAGTACAAACCAGGTTTAAAGTGCTCTGACAGCTTATTATACCTGAAAGGATTTCCTAATATGAATTAAATCATGTACACAGTGGAGTCATGATGCACTGATGAAGTGAAATCAGGTTGAGAGATATTTAAATTAGGGCTCGACCGATATGGATTTTTTTGGGCCGATGCCGATGCAGATTATTAGGGGGGAAAAAATCTGATTAACGATTAATCGGCTGATTTTTTCAAATTTTTTAGGAAGTTATAACAAAATACATATATACTGTAGATATACTGTAGGCTACTGCTCTTCACGCCGACAGGAAGACCGACTGATCAAACTCGGACCAGAAAAGTGAAAAGTGTTAACTCTGCATGACCGAGACCAGCACAGCGGGGAACATCGTGAAGTGGGTTGAACTGAAACTTGTTGATTTATTGTGTATTTCACAAGCTGGTTTATTTACCGTTGAGGCGACCACTCTGTGAAACCAAATCTTATTCTCCGCATTTTATTTCTGAAAATATCTGCGAAAATCGTCGAGTTTTGGCTGATAACCGATTAGTCTCAAACGGGCTAAAATTGGCAGATTTAATCGGCTCACCGATATATCGGTCGGGCCATAATTTAAATCAGTACATTCCCTTTCCTTCTCCCTCTCAGTCATTGCACTTTGAGGTGAACTAGAAGGGCTCCAAAAATTGGACAGTACAAGTTGATTATTTTGGTGCCTGTACAGAATTCTGACTATGGAGATGCAACTTACTGCATACCAACACACCAAAATCAACACTCTTAATTCTGCAGATTTAACTGCTCTGCATCTCAAAAACTGTCATCCTGAACAACACCCCAAAATATATTTATAAATTATTGTAGCATTTACTGTTTTTCTTCCTTTATAATAATTTATAACTGAACCGTTACGAAAAGTGACAGAATGCTTTCTGTAGCTAACGCTGTGAGATCGGTCACTGTTATCAGTCCGTTCATGTGACGCACAAGAACTTACCGAAGAAAACTCACCGTGATTATCGAAGACTACAGACACATCTTCTGGCAACCCAATTACAATATCATCCAAGGTGACGGCGAGCTGCTGCTGCTGAGCTTCAGTGAGAGATCTGCACCTCTCCTCCACATGTTCTCTCGTCTGAAACGACAGAAAGATCACAACAACAAAAACCAACACAGACGGACCACTTTTCATTTTCAGACTCTTGTGATGAATGTGAATCCGTTTTTGAACAATGTATTACTTTTCTATTGTAACCCAATAATCTAAAATAAATAAATTGTGTAGTTCATTTATTTCTAACCTGGATAATATTGTAGTTTGTGAATAATCTGTTACCTCTTTGGATAGTATCCCCACCAATTTGTCGTAACAGCCACTGGACATCATTGAGGAGACATGGACCAAAGCCTGGGAGAAAGGACAACAGGTTATTCTCCTGCATCAGGATGGAGAATATCTGTCCTCACTGTGGCTACCATTTGGACTAAAACCTGCGAACACACCTGAGCTGGCAAAAATGGCTTCTCAATTCAGGAAATAAGACCATGTGAGGAACTTGTGAATGCAGCATCAGTCTGGGTAATTCTTGAGATATCTCCTCTACATACTCCCATAATGTGTCACGGCGTGCTCTTTTTACTAATCACAACAAGTCTAAATTCTGTGGTTTGATTCCTCTAAATCAGGCCCCTTTTCTACTGAGTTTTGACCTTGTGAAACCTCTGTGGACTCACCTGAACCCTGATTTAAATTTCATGCAAAGACGATGAGAGACAGTAAACAGGTCTGATGGTGTTCAGGGGTTAGTAGCTCTGTATGAACCTGTTGACATTCAGCTGTTACCTGTCTCGATCCTCTGTCAAACTCCTCTGTACTGACGCCTATCCGAAAGTACAGATCAACGAGAAGGATAATGACTCTGCACCGGATGAATGTTAAGGGGTCCGGGATGCCCACTATAGAGATAGCGGGTCGTTCCTTCGGGGGTCCCTCGGCTCCGGGCCGTGAGCAGAACAGTCTGTATTTCTGACCGGCGAACACGACCCTCCTCCTGCACAGCCTCCGGCCCTGTACTCCGGTCTCACATGTGAAAGGTCGCGTTAACCGCACACACACAGCCGTCCGCTGTCGGTTCAAGGCCGGTTGCATGTCGCAGGTCGGGCCCCTCTTCCAGGCGCACAGCCCGGGGGAGAAAGCCACGAGGCCGCTGAGCTCCCGGCATGCAACGAGGCTGGAGATCCGCTGCATCAGAGCGGAGAGGCTTTACCGGCGGCTTCTATACTGCAGACAGGGGCTAAAACGGCCACCATTGTCACTGTTGCCTTTGGTAACCTTATGCAAGTCACCCCATGCTTTACCCATAATCCTCCTCGTACTCACAACGTAAACACACATGACTGCTGCCTTCAGGTACTGTAGGAAATACAAGATTTTATCTGCGGTACCTTTCCTGGCCACTTCGCTTATATCTTTGCTGCTGTTCTTAAGCATTTTTTAAGCCAAGTATTTTATTTTTGTTTATGCAGTAACAGCAAATTGCTCTGCCCTCTTTATTTTGGAGGCAGCTGCAACCCTGCATCAGCTTTTTTCTGTCACACATAGAAAAAAGAAAGTGAGATATTAGGAGATTGGTTCACTATAATCAAGTAGAACATTTTAAATGTACAATTTGTATTTGGCTTTTCATGCAGGTGCAAAAGATCTCCCTACTGATAAAGTTTATTTACCACAGGTTAGTAATGTGACCGAGCATAAAAGGGTTTTCCAGAATCACAAATACTTTAATTATCCCCGTGGGGAAATTGCTTTTTGTCACTAAGTAGGAAGAGGAGATTAAATAATGGATAAAATAAGTAAAATTAAAGAGATAAATAGATAAAATAAGTAAAATTAAAGAGATTATATACAAGTATGTACACTGTATACAACACAAAATAGTAAATTAGTATGCATGTAAACAGTAAGCAGAGTCTAATCTAATTTAATCTCTCAAGCATAATTTCTTTTTTTTTTTAAAGTAGTGGTCTTAAGTACATAATATTAAAAGAGTATTATCATTTTGTGTTGTTTTAAAGGTTTGAGGTTGACAAACAACATAAATATGATCTTGAGGCACTCAGAAAGCACTAAATTAAATTAAAACAGACATGACTCTGGAGTGTAGACCACCACATAGGCTTAAATGGCTTGTAAAAACCATTGTCCTTGAACACAGTTGTCATAGCCAGTAGTTAATAGCCTATGCAGATAATGAGAGAGTAGTAGGTCAATAACTGATACATAAAGCTGACATCACACTGCTTTTTTTTTTTAAATGATTATTATTATTGTTAATATGACAGTACTCTCCTTGCCCTACCCCCTCAGACCAAGCACCAAACTTGGAGGTACAGAGCCTTCTCCGCTGCCGCCCCCTTCCCTGTAATTCACTCCCCAAACCCATCCGAGACCGTACAGACCCCCACACTTTCAAATCACTGCTAAAAACACACCTTTTTAAATAGGCTTTCAACCTGTGAACTGTTCTGTTATTGTCTTTTCATATTGTGTCTTTTTTAACCTCCTTCACTGTTGGTCTTAGGACTCAAAATTTTCTGTATTTTAAATTCAAATTAAACTTTATTTTTCTGTCACTTTTCAGACAACAGATACAGTTCAAAGTATCTCACAGAGGCTAAAAACAACAATTAACAACAATAAAACCCGACCCTCCCACAAGCGCACACAGTTTTAGAATTTAAGATATATTGTTAAAGAGATTAAAGAGACATAGCCTGACACCGACGCATTACGTGAGGAAAGAGCTACCTTTGAGAAACACTAGAGATAAAAATAAAAATGGTAAAAAGATTAAAACCTGCTGGACTAAAACAAGAAAATAATATTAAATGAGCAGATAAGTAAGAGCGCTTTACCATATAAAAAAGGGTAAAAGAAATAAAAAACCTATGACGGGAATTAAGAAAATGACGAAGAACAGAGATAATTCATAAAATGACATAAAATAAACAATAAGAACTTTGATTAAAATGAACATTTACAATAAGAGAAATATAAAAAGGTAATTAGTGAAAAGCCTGGTTAAAATGGTGAGTCTAGAGCCTCCTCCTAAAAACATCAACAGTATCTGCGGCCCTCAGGCTCTCCGGCAGGCTGTTCCACAACTTGGAAAATAAATTGTGTTTATTTTTGTAAAGTGTCTCTGAGCACCTGTATTAGCGCCTTATAAATAATATTTATAATTATTATTTTATTTTAATTTTTTTATTATAGGAAACAAAATTACTGACCTCGACACCAAAGCTTTTAGAGGAAACGTTTTTTTTTTTCATATCAGTACTTTTCTTTCAGTTTTTGGAAGTTACAAGCAGCCCTTAAATGCAGCAGTGTGATTTCACAGATACAGTCCAGTAGAGGGAGCTAAATATCCATTTATCGGCCTCATGTCGTGTTGGTGTGTGAAAGCATCTTTAGTATGAGAAAACTTGTAAACTTTAAGTGTGTGCGCTTTAATCTAGGCCTATTATTAACGCCACAGACAAAGCGAAAAAACTCTGAGCGTATGCACATGCGCGTACGGACGTGCACACGCGCTACCAATTGTTCCGACGGGCCAGCAGTTTCCACCCAGGCTTTGTTTTCTGCGCAGGTGCCCAAAATGATTGTTGGAAAATGTGAAATTTGATCAGCAGACCAAAACATCATTAAGTCCCCGCTGTTCCCGGTGATTACAGGTCAGCGCCGTTTCCGCGTTTCCCTCTCACTCCCTCCTCTGCACGCGCTCGAGCACGCTGCACACACCTGCGCGCGGCTCCGCCCACCTGAAGTTCTCTCCCAACTAATTTTATTTATCAATAATTAGCAGCGCAGCGCTCGGTTATTTGAAATTGCGCTCAGACACGGAAACCTTTCCGGGATGTATCATAGTAATTATGTGTGTCAGCTGAGAATGCTTTTTACATCTGCGAGTCGAATGGAGCTGAATATTAACGAGTCCGCGCTGGATGGGATTAATTGCTGGAGAATGTACCGATAAACACACAAGCGAAGAAGAGTTAGAGTCCAGGGCGATGCGGTAATGAAGAGATTTAACCAGGATAGAGTGAGGAAGGAGGGAGAGGATTGAGGCGGAAGGAAGGTAGGAAAGAGGAAAACAAACGTGGAGAGACAAAAAAAGACAAAAATGGTTTAAAGATTTAAGAATTCAAAACTCACAAATGAAAGACAGACCACAACACAGACTGTCAGAACTGAGGCACAAATGTTTCTATTCAACTTCAATGAGTGAAACTTTGCACCCAGAGCCTAAAAACACAAAAATGACAAACACAGACATCAAATATTCAATATTAATTATATTGAAAATTACATTATTGAAACACTGCATGGTTAGTTATGAGGCATGTCATCTGCCAAGTTCAGAAACACACTGAAGAAAACACTGCAGTCTTATAGGGGGTTGTTACATGCCCCCCAAAACTCACGCCCCAAATCTGAGCGGGGTGTAAAACTAGCTTTACATATACAAAATAATTTAACCTTCTTTATCGTTACTATTTGTGTTGTTTATAGTGTAAATACTTGTATATTATCTCTATATTTTTACTTATTTTACTCATTTGATCTATTTATCTCTATATTTTTACTTATTTTTTCTATTTTGTCTTTTATTTTATCTATTATTTGTCTCTTCTTTACTGTATTTGCACTGGAGTACTGTAACGAAAGCAATTTCCCCCTGGGGATTATTAAAGTATTTCTGATTCTGATACTGATGATTCTTAAGAAAAAAACTATCAAAAACAACCCTCGGGATCTTTCAAAGCAAAAGTTTTTTTTTTTTTTTTAACTGAAACCAAAGATCACTTTTTATTCTGGATTATTGTTTACATGAATTTGAACAGATTGCTTTCCAAAACGATGAAAGATTATCTTTAACTGACTGTAATTAGGTGAAAAAGTTAAATTACATATAACAAAATTTAAGGAATAAACTGCCAACCCATGAATAATTATCTACTAACTGTTAAGAAGTCCTTGTTTAGATTTTGTTAGACATAAAATCATGAAGTGACTGAACAAACGTCACAATAGACTTTGAGGTGTGGCACAGAGACGGGGATCTGGATGACTGGTTTTGGTCTGCAGGCTTTGACCCTCAGTTCACTAGATCCAGAATTATCTGATTGGGATTCAGAGGGACGGAGACTCTGTGTGAGCTCCTCACTCAGCTCATTCCTCTGTTGTGCCACTGAAAGGCACTGTTGTCCACAGCTCAGCACAGCTCCTGCGTTCCCACGTCCACTGTCAGAGATGAAGATGTCGTGTTGAGCGAACCCTCCAGAGAGTGTTTGAGGCAGGTCAAAGCTAGATCACAGGTTAAACATGGAGTCTGGACCATCAATAATGATGAGACAGCTTTAGCAATGAGACATGTCACTCCAGGAAGCTGAATTTAACATTTTCCAGTGTTGGAATAATTTTTGAAAGCTGACTTTCAATTTGTGGAAATGAAAATTTGTCACATTTATTGTTTTCCATGCAGTGATTTCAGATTTTAAGAGGGGAGAATAAAGCTGACAGTCACAGTACAAAGAAAAGAAGTGCTTTAAACGTGTTGAATAACTTACCTTAAAACCCCGAAGTACTTGACTTCTATGATTTTATTCAGATGTTAAATTTTCAAATGTTAATTTTTGATATAGAATGCTCTCTAAAATTCCTCCATTTGAACAGAAAGCGGCGTCAATCTTTAAATCTAGTGTGACAAACTCAAATGAAAGTGCCGTTTTATTACACGTCATGGGTCTAAAAATTCCAAATTTAAGAGTCTAATTAAAATATAATAATGACTGAGTGAAAAAATAGGTAATTTTGGAGTCTGATTATGTTCATTTTATTGTTTTTAATATAAATTTCATGAAGACTGACGGTCTTTAAATACAGTTTCTTTCTTAAGCTGGTCACTCTGTGTAAAAACTCATGTATTCGTTTTAGGAACACAAAAATACAAAGTAAGATTAAACATTTCAAACTTTACATAAAAGAAAGTTTATTTATACATTTTCTTGCATTTCTTTAATTCCAACTCAAACTCATTTTTCTTGTTGGAATATTCAGGAGTGAAGCAGTAATCGTCTGAGAACAGCAGCTTTTTCTTTTACAGCCTGTTTGTCTTTCTTTATGATGTGCTTTCTAAAATAACTTGGTCAACTTTCCTCCGCGAAAGGATGGCATGTTAAACCTGGGAAAATGTTGTTTTTGTAAATATGAATTTAATCTGGGCTACAGGTATTGGATTTTGTGTGTGCTGGCAGGGAGCCACGCACAATAGCAGGCACAGGTGTTGACCAGAAAAAAAAAAAGAGGAGAGAGAGAAAAGGGAAATGCAGAAAGTGATTTGAATTATCATCGTGGAATTCATTTGGTGTCTGCAAGAGAGACAGAGAAAAAGAGAGAGAGCTTTAAATAGAGGCACAAAGTTTTATGTAAAATTGGTGCAAAGATATTTCCAAAATTTCTCTGTCTGTTTCTCTTTGTGTTTTTTCCCCCCTCTTTTAAAAAGCTGGGCCCGGTTGATCAAGAGTACAGATATCTTTGACTTAAGCGCGGCGTAATGAGAGAAATTAGCACAAATGCTCTAAGTAATAGTTCCTGATTTTTTTCTCACTCACAAATTATTTCTCAACTTGTTTTTGTATCTGTGCATAAATTAAAAAATCTGCTTAAATTTATTATTCATCTGAGATGTGATTAATATGCAAAATTATGCAAATTAAGATGCAATTAGGCTCCAATTCTCTAGTGGAATTTTCCATTATAATTTAATACAAAGTAACAGAGTAATTGGTGTCACGTGTAATTACGGTTACTCAAGTGCACTTTCAGGCATGCAAATGATTCGCTATATGTTGGTTATCCTATGCAAATGCACCATGTGGTGTTTTAACAAGTTGAGGAAAACACAATGGGTGCGTGGTTACCCAGTGGGGCTGGAACAAGGTAAAGACACCGGGTTTCTTCTTTTAAATGAGAGGAGTTGGAAAACTTTCAGGGCTCAGATTATCACCAGCTGAGACTTCCAGTTACTTTCTCTCTTTTTTGAATTTTAATGAACCAGAAGAGATGCAGACTTTCATCCATCACCAATCAATTAATGAGAGAAAACTGTTTTTGGATGCGACTTGTGGCTCGTGCGTGAGGGAAAGTAGGCGGTTTGAAACACGAAACTGTTGCTTCAGTTGACAATTCACGAGAAGAGAAGTCTCACACTCCAACACCTCCACCCTCCTCAGCCCCCCCACCACCACCATTCAGACAGAAGAGCTTTCTGCATCTTCATTACCACTGTTGCCCTGTTTGATCAATGACACTGCAAATGTCACAAGCAATCACAAAACATTATGCGGCGGGGACAATTACGCCTCAGCTCTGTGTGACAAACTTTGCAGTCGGTGGCGTCCACGCGGAGAGAGAAGAAAAGCGATTATGTAATTGATATCTATTTGGATAGAATGAAAGTCCTGTAAACGCTCGGAGGGAGAAATGTCTCGCAGAGCAATTCCTTCTTGGGAGGCAAATTGATTTTAAATTGTTACATGGCTGGTTACATGTCCTGACATCTTGCTTTGCCTGCTCTCGCTCTCTCCGACACACACACACACACACACACACACAGATACACTCACACTCGTGCAGACACACACCCTCTGCTATCTGTCTTGTTCATGATCAACGCTCTGAACAAAGACATCCTCCCCTCCCCTCCTCCTGCTCTCCCCCCCTCTCTCCTCACCCATCTTCTCCCTCTCTCTCTACGCCTCCACTCTGTGTGCCTGCCTGCTCGCACAACTCTCTCAAAGAACATAATCCCTCAACAAAATGGAAACACAAAGGAAACTTGAGCTCAATCCTATAAACGCGCGGACACAGCAGACAATGCCTCCTCCCACCCGTTTCCCCCCTATCCCAGTCCCCCTGCCTCCCCAACAGCCGTAAATGCCCTGTGGCACAGATCAGGCTTTATCAAACCCTCCCTCCCTTCCTCCTCCTCCTACATCCATCCATCCCACCCCGATTAGCACCCTACCACCACCACCGCCTCCTCTACCCCGCCCGTCCCGCTCCCAGCATCTCCCATACCTCCACATGGAGCGTTTGGAGCTTGTTTGAAGGTTTGGCTGCTGTTTCCGTCGGTTACTTCGAGGCGAGTTGTGCGTCTACGTCTCCCTCTGTTGATGTATGCAGAAGTGACGCCCGAGTACCTGTAGGTGTTTGTCAGAAAGTTTGACTAGAACAACATTTATTTGTGTGTTGATCCTGTTCAAAACAGAACATGTGCCTTCTTCTCGCAGCTTCTCTTTGGTGTGGAATAAATCTCTGATGCTCCAGTTACTTGTCAATCATTTTCCAACACCTTTACATCACTTTCTCAATTTTTTCTTCGCAGATGATGTTCTTGTATCCGTAGGTGTTGCTCAGCCGCGACGCTAACTAAAAAGTCCTCGTAATTAAAATGACATTGTTTGTCGATGCCCTCGAGATCTACACATGGGGGTGTTTTCTGATCTGACACCCAAATCTGAAATGAGTGTTTGATTTGTTCGCGTTTACCAAAGCTTTCCACAATTACGGCTGAAAAATCTGTTTTCACGACATAGTGGTGCTGAAAGTACGACTGCAGTTTTGCTTTTTTTAGTGGCAGTAAAATTTCTCAGCTTGATGTATATACAGATGTTGGTTCAGGTTAAAAAGATAATTTTGTTGACAGACAGACTAAAATTTTATACAGATGTTTCATTTTGACCCACAAAGAGACCATTGAGGAGGAGACATGTAGTTATTTGTGACGTCCAGGTAGCTGTTTGAAAAGTCATGTCCTTTCTTTTAAATCTTTTTTTTTTTCAAATCTCCGATCCTGTGATTTTAAAACTTTTTCTGTGATCTATTATTCGCCCTCTCCTGGTATAATAATAAAGAAAATCATGACTTTCTTGGAAACATTCATTTAAACCTAACAACCCCAAGCGAACCTTAACAGGCCGGTCGCCAGTCATCTCGGCACAAACGTAACAACTGCCATGAGAAACTAAGTTCCCCAAACTTTCACTTTTGCTGTCCACAAAGAGCATCTCAAAGATCTCCACCTTTGAATGTGTACCTTTACGTCCTTTCGGTGCCATTTTTGAGACAGGCAAACATTGCTGTTGTTTTCTTATACTCAGATTTTCCATAAAGGTAGAGACGCACAGGTTTGTGTCAGTTTGACGTCACTCTCTGGAGGAAACAAACAACAGAGCAAAATGTAACACCCACGAAAGGACGTAAGTGTCCGTTATTATGACCCACTAAAAGAAACTGTATTGCGGCGAGGACAGGAAAGTGCACAAACAGCCAGTAAGGAGTCATGGCTCGCCAAAATAAAAAGTCCTGGTACGACAAGAAGTTCAGTTTAAAAGTGTTGGAATAAAAGTGGCAAACACCAATTTTGGACCTCATATTTCCCTGTTATGCCAAATGGTGGTATCACTGAGACTTCATCCAGGTTCTCAACAATTAATGCTCACCAAACACCTGTAAAAGTGGCGAGCTGAAACACACACTGAAACAGAAGATAATTTTGACTCACTCCACAGTTTGTTTTTGAAAGTCTGTCGGCAAAAAAGGGAACAAAAAAACAATCATATTTATCTTTAAATCAAATCAGTGTCCTTCAAATGATCAGATTTCATTGTCATATGTGTAAACATGCGTCCTATTATGTGAAATAACAAAGATGCAAACAGGAAAGATGTGAGGTGTAAATAACTTGTGGTTTTGTAATGTAGGTCAGTGTCAGTTTCCACATCTGAATTAACTGTCTTGTGCCCGTCTGTTAATAGAGCTCATCCAGACCAGCACCTGAGTGCCAGCTGATGCCCTGTGTCCTCCTCCTTGGAGAGGTTTCTGCTGCTGCGGGGCCCCCAGAAGGTGACAGAGAGGTGAGTGAGGTTTGATCTACTCTAATCTGGTTGTCAGTGGGAGGAGGGGACGGTGTCGGGAGCTGTTTGGCATCAGTACCGGGACTCTCTGTGACTGTGTGGTCTTCGGAGAACCACTTACCGCCCCCGTGCTCTCCTCCAGTTCCAGCCTCTGGAAGGTGAGGCGGGCTCTCTCCTCCCTCAAACCCCCCCCCTCCTTTCAAACATGCTGATTAAATCAACCCTACTACGCAGGGCGAAGCGCGATAACAGATGCAAAGTAGGGCGCCTTCACTCGCTGTCACAGGAAGAGGAAGTGCCCTGGTGTACCTTAACCTGTGCTTGCTGCCTCGCTGCCGCTGCCGCTACAATGGTTGCACAGCTGGAGACGAGACAGCGAGCGTGTTAGATCAGAGAGCAGCGAGGCTCACGTGTTGCGTTTCCTGCTTGTGCGAATGTGACGAGTGACCATCTGAGGCCTCAGAACAAAAGAAATAGACAAGATGGCTCGTTTTTGTCTTAACTGTAATTACCTACACGCTTTGAAGTACAGATATGAAAAAACTGTAATTTACATCCTGCTCTCTATACATTTAGATCCAAATTATCTCTGCAAACAACACCTCAGAAGAATAAATATCCAAACAACACGTAATTTGATCACATATTCATTTTGATCAAGAAAGAAAAACCCAGGTAAGTTGTTGCAAAATGTCTCTTGCATGTGTTTCAATAATTAATCCAAATCAATTTAGCAACTAAAGTAGTGGGAAGAAAAACAGGTTGGGTTTATTTTATATATTTCCCTATGCTAAACACGCCAATGAGCAAATCCCACAAACATCAGAGATCTGGATGGCGAGTCCTTCTCTATAAATTCTATAAATGTCTGGTCTCTTTTCATGGATTACTGTCATTTGCCATCCGCTATTGTGAGCGCCTGCCAGACTGGCTTGCCATTTCTGGGCCTGTGTTTCCAACCTTGATATATTTGCCAAATGAATATTTGAAGCTGTAATTAAATTTATCCCACCTCTACACCTTCTGTAAGACGGCCACCTTGCACATTTCTCACATGCCATATTTCAGCTATTTTTTGTGTGAAAAAAAAAAAAAAAACACAGCTCGTTGCCATTTTTTAATGATTTGGAATGAGGGTATTTTTACAGGATAAATCTGATTTCAGGACATTCATAATGGTCCTGCTTGCATATTCACATGTAAATACACATCGTGTGGTGAGGAGCCTTCAAAGCTGTCACTCGCTGCCTAAACAAACTTCATAAAATGTCTGTAAATATGATTAAAAAAAACAGGAGATGACATTTTAGCAGATTATAAGGCATTAGTAAAAATCAGGCACAGCTCCATATCTCAAAAACAGCCAAGCACATTACGTTAATGTGTCCACATACAGAAATAAACCATTCCCATTAGCATATTAACATACCCACAGTCTCACTTTTAAAGGAGAAACCCCCCAAAAAAGTCTGATGTATGCAGAAGATTTTTCTTCAGACGACAGGAGAGGTAATGATTTATTAAAAGACTAAACAGCAAGATGCTTACACCATTGTTCGTCCTGAGACACGAGGCCTTGATGCATGCAAGAAACAAAACATTTGATTAATTCATGACGAGGAACAATGTCGCCTCAACTCTTTGTTTTTTTGTAGCCGACCAGTATTTACCTCAGACAGACGCAGATCCATGGACAATCAGTCAGAGAAAAGACACAGAAACACAGTTTTAAAGCTTTTCTTTTTAACTGTTACATCATTGTTGTTGTTGTCTAAAATTCATCACCTCAGACTGTGTCCAAAGTCACAAATAATTACCTCAGACATGTCTCTGATAAAACTAGATCTCCAGTTTTCTGTGGACAAATCAGCTTCAGTGACAGTGCACCCCAACAGTCAGCATACAACATTTAATATTTCAGCAATGTACAGAACATGGAAACACAATGGCCAATAATGTTCAACAATCACTGAAATGAAGTACGATGATTTAATTAGTGAGTAAATCTGGACCAAACTTAAATCTAGACAAAGCCATACTCACATTTTCAGATTATTTTAACGCAGATCTTCATACTTATCATTTGAATTATGTGCATCCTAGATCCCTGAGAGAAAGTTCAACAAGAAGTCTAACTTTTCTGTTTCTATGAGCAGAAGTAGGGGGTGAATTCTACACATGCGTAGGAACTGTAGGTTTGACAGTTTGTCCCGAAGTGATGATGAAATCAGACTTTCGCTTCATTTTCATTAAGATCTAAAAAGTCACAGTGATGGTACTATCGCAGTATATATGGAAGACTTGAAAAAACACACTAAGTCAGAAAAACAGAAAGAAAGAGTGAAAGAGCGACATATTACTTTATAAACTCTACTAAGTGGCTTGCAGATATATCATCATTCATGTCTCATCTTGCTAGAAGTCATGTTTTATCCCCGTGTCAGAAACCTCCGATGAAACGAAAACTCTCCATCGTCTTCTGCGTGTGATTTGGCGTGACGTGTTGTCAATGAACACCCCGTCTGTTTACGATAGTTACAAAACTCCTGAATAATCACAGCAGAGTTTGTCAGGTCTTGGTGGAGTCATGATTTGGGCTGTGATTGTTGCCACACATGTATGTAAATCTGAGCTAGCTGGTTTGTGAGGGTGCCCTCAGTGGTGCCCACCATCATGGTGGTGTCGTGTTTTCTGTGTTCACAAAAAGAGACCATGTGAACTCCTCCTCTTGTGGTTTGCACATCGTAATATCAGAAAATCTTTTACTTGTGAGGTCTTAAATATTCTATGGCTCCCATACTTACACGTATTTAAAATTTTTGTGGATTTGCTTGTATAGAGGACAGTTTGTGGTGTTTATATTAGCGATGGATGGATGCATCCATAGATGGATGCAGGGGCAGCTGGATGTTGCAAACAATGAGACTGCTTGCATGATTTGCAAAAGAAGCCTTAATTTGGGGTGATGATGTTGTTAATTGTGTGCCCTATTGTGCAAAAATAGTCCTAATTTGTTTTTGTTTTCGAAATGTCTTATACAGTCCTAAAACTGTGCAGCAACCCTGTTATCTAAGTGTGCAACAAGGTGCTGCATAATTGTATGGGGTTGCTGAGCAGTAATTACAGTGAGAAAGAAGTGATGCTTAAATAAGCAGAGATGCACCTGTCTCTGAAACTCTGAAGATCTTTTAACGGCAGTGTTTTAAATGTCATGTGTCATCATATCCGGTATTTTCTACGTGATAATTCACCATCCAGAATAATCCAGGTATGACGTAATCCAGCCTGCGTGTGTCATAGGTATTCACACAGATTATCTCAGTTAAATATGCGGTCCATTCCCTTTTTCTCCATCAGATGATCTAATGACTGACCCGCCCTCGCCCTCCCTCTGAATCCTGTTAGTTACACTTAAAAGGAGCCCACTCCTCATAATTAAAACCTCCCAGCCTTCAAATAATTACCACTGGTTCCCCTGCACTTTGAATTGCACTTGTGGTGACATAATTCATTAGTGTTTGTCCAAAGAAATGATTTAAAGTCTTTAAAGTGCTCCTCCATGCAGAATAGCTATTAAAGCAGCCATATGCACATATGCTTGGAGCGTTAAACGGTTTATTGAAGTCAGTCGGGGTACAAGCGATGATAAACATAAATTATGACTAATACACTGCACCAGTGGCTTTTTCGGAAATAAAAAATTACTGACACAGGGAAACCACTTTGGATTCTCCGCCGCAGCCCGGCCCCCCCCTCCACCTCCTCATCTGTGTGTAGTGAAGCGAGGATGTAGGAAGCACAACACAAATGGCTCGGGCATCACCTTGAATATTCAGATGGGTAAGCTAATCGTTCATGCCTGGATACACCATTGTGATTACCTGGCTCCTTTGGCATCACTCCGGAGCCCTCTCAAGGCGAAGCAGAGAGCCTTTTGTTTTCATTCAGTGCTATTAAAAAGTTTAGACCGCACAATGAGACTCCACTCCCACAGTTGGCTCCGTGAATATACCAATGAAAACATTGTTTCCTTTTGCAGAAAAAAGCTGTGATTTTTGAGGAAAAGTGTAAATACAGACACCGTTTTTGAGTGTGTCTCAAATGACAAATGAGGGGGATATTTTAACACCCCACAGCTGGTGCAAATGAACAGTTTTTCTGCAACTTTCCACCGTCTCTGTGACTTTTTTATTTTCACTTTTTTTTTTGTCAGATGATTTGCATGATTTAAAGTACAGTAAATGGCGTCCCACAGGGGTCCGCGTTGGGTCCTTTTTTATTTTTGTCAATAACTTGCATAAACAAATGGAAAGTTTTATTTTCAGCTGACAACTTTATCTTATATATTTAAATGTCCTCATTGAATACGACCAGTGATTTAAAAGTTGCTTCTAATATTGTACAGATACATCCTATAGATAACCATAAGTTGGCTGGATGGATCTCATCATGCAGGATAAGTGCAGTAACTTGTAGGAGCAGTAAGTGATCTGAGCTACATGGTCATCTTAAATAGGACATTAAATTAGTCTGGGGGATTTTACAATTTAAGATTAAGGATCATCTGACCAGTGCATGGATCCATTTCACTGCTGAAGGCTGATCGATCGTTGTTTTGCTTCCTCGTCTTTGTTGTCCATCTTGTTTTCTGTGGGAAAGTTTTTATTCTTGGCTAAGAGGGAAAAAAAAACCCTCATGTATCTCAGTATAAATATTCCCGCTGAAATAGAGGCTGCATAAAATTCAAAAACAAAATAAATGCTGCATGTATAGGATTGTTATGTACTATTCAGAATTAAAACATCCTAATCCTATTATCATGGCTGTTGTAGCTATTTTAGCCTCTCCCCGAGGGGAGAAGTACATTAAAAGTACATTTAATGAGCAGAGCGGAACAAAAACCAGGAAACATATATTTTTCAGATGATAATCCTGAATTTCATCAGCAATTATTTCACGAATTTAGGAATTTTGAAGTGCTCTCTGAACAAAAATACAGATTATTCTCAAAAAGTAATAATTTAAAGATACTTGAGGTTATAATGTTACTCTTACGTCAGTATTTCCATCACTTCTTTTGCGGCTAAATATGTTTCCCGTTAGCACTAACGTTGACCCGTCCTGCTGCCCCAATACTCACATCTACGCTCCCAGGGCCCCCTTCTCACAGTGCACCCTGCCTGTATTACCATCCACCCTGCATTCATCACTTTGTTTCGCCTTTGTGTCCCTCCTTTTTTAAGAGAACTGCAGGAATTATTAGAGGCTTAGCACCGAGAGGCCCCTAAGTAGCTCTCGGGGTGTAAGCTCCTCTCCCAAGTCAAGGCCAACAGCACTCTGAGCCCCCAGCCCCATTCAGTGATAATGTACATGTCAGCAGGGACACGCAATGATCCCTCACTTCTCCATGCTAAATGATCATTTTCTTTTCTTACACTCTGCTTTCATTCGAGTAAATCCACTCCCCTAAAAAACTCCCTGAAATATTAACACGCAGTCGAACAATAGTGCTCAGAAGTCATGAATCAGCAGATGATTCCCAATTCCATGCACACAACAGGGGATTGTAGCGAGCGTGTCTACATGTGTATGTGTGTGTTAAGGTGGGTGCAGGGGAGCCTCTGTTTGCACCAAATGCTCCCATCCAACAAAATTCCAAACCCCCGGCATCACTACGGAGCTTAGGATCTGTGGGAAAGCTGAGGCGAGCAGCGCAGCCGTGGAGCACCTCGCCCGAGTCTCCAGACGGCCTGATTTGGGAACGCCGTGAAATCCGTGGCACCTCTCCTGGCTTCCTGGCTGAACGGCTGCCATATCTTGTGATGGACTGAGGCAGGAGAGAGCGAAGCAGCCAGGGATGAATACGGCTTAATCTTTACCCAGGCCACATGTGTGTGCATGATAACATGGTTGCTTTCTTCCTGTGCAGGGTTATTCTCCGCCAGCTGCCAGGTTAGCTGCCTCGCACAGCCGTGTTTTGCTGCGATATTTGCCCGCTGTAAAAAGAACTATTGCACCTAAGGTGGGGGCTAATGCATGTTTTTGGAATTGGCGGTAATTCCTGACACATTTCGAGAGACAGATAGGGTGTCTTATAGCAAATGACAATATATGTAAAGACACCTAGCTGTTCCCCCCTTTTAGTTCCTAATATTTTATTTGTGAGGAGCCTCCTTATGCTGGGGATAGAGGTTATTTTTGTCATTAAATGGCGCCCTTGTGATGAAAAGCAGCGAGACATGTGGCAAAATACCTAAACGTACATTTGAAGTCAGGCTGCTGGTCTGCGAACTGAAGGAGAAATCAGAAAGTGACTGATTTGTGACATCGCTTCACGCCGTATTCCCGTAAACAACCAAGTAGTTGCTAATTTTTCCTCATTTAGTTCATGCTACATTTGCAGCAACAAAGATTAAACCGCTTTATTTCGTATTCTTTACCAACCTAAGTGTCTTCATTTAAATACACGTGTGTGTGTGTGTCTGTCTGTGTGTGTGTGTGTGTGTGTGTGTGTGTGTGTGTGTGGCATGCAGGTGCTCTTCCCTCCATACATTCTCCCATCATCTCCGTCGACTTTAATGCAATCACTCCAGCAGCAGCAGCAGCAGCTTTGTGTAAATCTGCCTCTTTCTCTCCTTCTCGCATAAACTTTCTCCCCCTCCGCTCATCTGCCCGGCTACACACAGCCCATTTATTATGATTGCATTACCATAAATGATTTTATAACATCTGCTTGTCAATAATTATCGTACAAATTCCCGTGCACTCTGACCCCTGCTCTGAATGAACCCCAGGTGTAAGGCACCGCCGGGCTAATGAGTAGCGCCACGCTAGCACATTGTCCCCACGTCAGTGCACACAGCCACCCACCCACTTCAATTAGAGCCTGGCACACGCCTAAATATTAGCTGGAAATTGAGGAAATCAGGCGCTAATTGAAAACATTGCATTCAAGAAGAGAGAGTTTGTGAGTAAATGGTGAGGATATTTGATCTGATATCCCAAATGATGCAAAAATGGATGTTCCTCCTCTTCGGGGGTGTGGAGTGGGTAAGTTTGAGAGTTTTAAGGCTTTTAAGTACAGAAACATACAAAGATAGGGTGTGTGATGGAGTAAAACCTACATAAACATAGTTGTAAGTAGACTTAAGAACACGGTTCAGTATTTATTTGTCAACAGCTATAACTTAATGAATGATTGATGATATATAACATAGTTATAGTCATTTAAAATTCCATCAATTATTTGTCTTATTCATTAATTAAATAGTTTTTACTTATTTATGCTTCTTAACTCTCTGTGACAACCAGAAAACCTCCATCCACTGATAAAGAGCACAAAGCTGAAAGCTTGGAGGGTAAACTCCAGCAAGAGGGTCAATCATTTCTGGATCAGTTTAAAGGTTTTGAATTGACCTCTGACATTTCTGTCTCATATTTTGTGGCCATTTATGAACATTAATATTTATAA